CTTCCCCATCTTCCAGAACCCAGACTGTAAATGTAACATTTTCTACATGTAGGTAAAATTAATCACTGCAATAAAATAACTTTGTCTGTTTTTGTCACTTTTACAGTGGATTGCATCAAAATTCATTTTCAAACCAAATGCATTCGATTTCAAATTATGAACATTCAGTTTCAATCTGAGTAATTCAAATTCACTTCCTGCTGGAACAACATTAATCCCGTACCAGACAGCCTTATTGAAAACATTAATGAGCATTTTATCTGTTCTTATATTGGTTTAAATCATAGTGAATATGAAACCTTGGATATTTTCCTCCTTTTTGAATGTTTAGTATTTTGAATTAACGATTTATATTTAGAAACCTTTTATCCAACTAATCTTTCTCTTTAAGCTCGTTGGGCACAAATAATTTCCCAGGTGATTACTAAAATAGTTGTCCTGCTGCTGAACTCATGGAAGATATTCTCATGCTTCGATCAGATCTGTCCACTGGTTCGTGAGATATTTTGCTAACAACACACTGGATGGGTCAAAACTTATGTTCCATATTAAACTAATTCCCTAACAATAAAACTTGTTTCAGAACAGAGAGTTTGCAGTAATAAACTTTGTTTCCTCAGACCCTCAGCCCAGTGACGGTCAGAGAAAACTCTCCTTTAACGGAGAGCTGAACGGTTTACTGGGAACCGGCCTGCTGGGAAGCACCGACCGCTCAGCCATGTCCGAATCTACCAGACCCATCTCCACGGACCTCAGCAGCGTTCAGGAGAGTCAGAGGATGTAAGTAAAACCTACGACTCAGCCACTTTTTAACAGAGCAAGTTGATAAAAACCAGACGGATGCTTTCAGCTGCCTGACCGGGGACGACGGGACCACCTGCATCCCCATCACCTCCAGCAACGTGGAGATCGTGGCGAGTCAGGACTCGAGCATCAACAGCAAGGCCCGAGGCAGCAACAGGGTGGGCAACCAATAACACAGCTTTGTTTTTGTAACGTCAATATTTGTGTAGTTCTAACCGTGAGTTTATTTTTCATCAGGTTAAAATTCAGCCTGTTGCCAAATACGACTGGGAACACAAGTATTATTATGGCAGACTGATAGCTGTGTCCAGCTCCTTCCTGGTTTACGCCATTAAAGGTGAGTCCTGCAGGGAGTGTGTGGGGCGTTCCACGCAGAATCACAGTTTTTTATTTTGCAGTTTAAAACGTTACTCAACAGTTGAGGTGGAAACACTGTTAACCTCTTGAGCAAAACAGCATTTTCTGTTTTATATCTTTTAACTTCTGTTAACTTAAGATCTATAAGTTGAACCTGAACATGTTTGGTATCAATAGAAACCTGAGAATCTTGGCTAAAAGCTCATGGGAACTATTTTTACTTCCACCAAACAGTTCAAATGACAAACAGCTGAATCAGAAAGTTACAAACTGTACAAAATTGAATTGTTGCAAATCTGAAAATATATTACAACTAATATGTAAATATTTTACAACTAATCTGTAAAGGTAAAATTTTGACATTTGTTTTTAAAGCAAGTCAAAACAAATACCAAAATATGTAATAAATTGTGTTGAAAGTTTTTTTTCCCTTGATTTTGAGTGAATATGATCCAACTGAATTCAAACATAATTTCTCATTATTTTATATTTTATATAATATATATGGTGACAAATAAATGTTTGGATAATTTTTCAAAAGAACAAACATTTAATAACAAGTCTTTTAAGGCAGGTAAGAAAAAATAAATAATTTCTGCAATAAAAACTTCAGATTTCTTAACATTTATTAATAAAATCTACATGGTCCATCCTGTGCAGAAAGACAACACACTAAATTATTTCTTTATTAAAACCTCTGTAACTTTGCTTCAGTTAATTTTAGCAGCATGAATCTTTGCACAGGTGATGTCCACAAGTGGGTTTATGGTTTCCGAGAGTTTTTAGCCTGATTCATTATGGTTTTAAATGGGTTATATACTGTATAATGCAAAAATTATTCAGACAGGAGGGAAAAAATAAAAATAAACTATGTTCCATCCTATCTCTAAAACCACAGCAGCTGTTTTAATACCTACACTTCTAATAAAATCTCCTAAGTGTTGCTTTATTTTGATACCAAGATTATTAAAGTAGAGTTTGTAAAAGCTGAGATACTCAGTTACATTTCACCATGGGATTTCGAGCAAAAACATCAAGAACACCTCTTGGGTCTTAAGAGGTTAACCAGTCCTAACTGAAGTGTTTTAATTGAACTATAAAACTTTATGTTCTTTCAGGAGCCAATAACCACGCCATGATCCGGGTCCTAAGTTTAGATTTTAACGAGCGCACCCTGCTGAAGGGATTCAGGGGGGCCGTCACAGATCTGGCTTTCGCCCACCTCGACTCGTCTCTGCTGGGCTGCGTCGACGAGGCGGGAAACCTGATGGTTTGGCAGCTCACTTTCACCGGCAGCAAAATCCTGTATCCTGAAAAACACAAGAACAAATTTAAAGTGCCTGTGACGTCAAATCTTTGTTAAAGATATGAATGCATTTTTAGAAAGAGGACTGTGATAAAATGTTGCAAAAGAAATTTCATGTCGCTGAGATGAACAGTTGTTGAGATATTTGCCTGTGAAGTAACAGGAAGTGATGTCAAAGAGGAATGTCTGAATGGAACAGAGCGTTGCTACAATGCCTAATAACAGACTGTAGAGGAGAATCTGATGTTTCTTAAGATTATTTTGAGTCTCTATCAGAGATAAAGAAGAGTCAGAGTTCAAATAATTTTGTTTCAATAAACAAAGACCAGACAGTTTTCTTTGTGAAAGAGTTCCCCTTTGATGTCACTTCCTGTTTCACTTCAGCTGAGCCAAGTTCAAAACAAAATATGCCAGTTATGGGACAAAATGGGTAAAATCGTGTGTATTATTCCAACTTTCTTAAATTTAAAGACGTTTTCTTTGACTTTTTTGTATGTGGAGAATGTGTATGTCACAGGCACTTAATTAAGTCCCGCCCACTTAAATATCGTGCATTAAAAACGTGAGCATTTGTGTTCCCTGTTCAAAACGCTTGTTGTCCTTAACCCCGCTTCCCCACAGGGATCAGATGGTGGTTCATATCCAGCGACCGGAGGACACGCCGCTGGACTCCCACCGCCGTCTCGTCTGGTGCCCGTTCATCCAGGACGACGGCGAGGAGAACCAGGACGACGCCAGCCAGACTCTGGCCCTGCTGCATGAAGACCGGGTACTCCACACCTGTCAAAACAAACCTTTTATTTAAAAAAAGACATCAGGTTTTCTGTTTTTATTTCACATCAAGATAAAAACGTTTGGTTCCTCTCTGTGGTTTAGGCCGAGGTTTGGGATCTGGAGGTCCTGAGAGCCAACAACAGCAGCTGGCCCGTCGATGCCTCTGAGCTCAAAGAAGGTCTCATCACAGTCAAAGGTCACAGCAAGGTAGGGCAGCAGACAGGTTTGGTTTTGTTCCCGTGGATTCCTCTCGTGTACGATCTGTTCTGTGTCTGTCCTCCAGCGAGTCAGTCAAGGAGCCTTGTCTCCTGATGGGACGGTGTTGGCCACGGCCAGCCATGACGGCTTCATCAAGTTCTGGCAGATCTACATAGAAGGTGGACATGACAAGCCCAGGTGAGCGAGCAGATCTGGACCACCCATCAGAAGGAGCGTTGTTTCTTTTGTCCTGAGTTCTGTTTCCCCTCTGTTGTCCCAGATGTCTTCATGAGCTGCGTCCTCACGGAGGACGGCCCCTGTCCTGCCTCCTGTTCTGTGACAACCACAAGAGACAGGATCCAGAGTCAGTGCAGCTGAGACCTCCAACATTCACCTGTTTTATCCTGCTTGTGTTGTTTTCATCACGTCTGGTTGTTTCTGCTCAGGGTTCCCTTCTGGAGGTTTCTGATAACGGGGGCGGACCAGAACCAGGAGCTGAAGCTGTGGTGCACCGTTTCCTGGAACTGTCTGCAGTCCATCAGGTCTTTGATTCATCACTTTTACTCATTTAGTTAGCTTCTTTAGAAGATCCTGTGTGGACTGTCATTAGGTGACATGTTGATGTTTTTATTCATTAATTAGCTTTAGTTCAGCTGAAGGTCATAAATACACAAAGAAGTCTGTCTGAAAATGAGTTTCTGCAAATGATCAAGTCTTTAAAGTCAGGACAGTTTAAAAAATATAGGTTTTTTTCCAAAATGGTTTTTATTTTTATTCAAGGTTCCTGCAGATCCTTAAAAATTTAAAAAAGGCCTTGAATTCATCAATCCAAAAATAAGGCATTAATTAACCTTAAAATGTCTTAAATCGATCTTTCAGAGTCTTAAAAATGTTAACACAATGTAAGTAGGATGATTGTAATTCATCTCAAATATTAAAATAATTGGTAAAACTTATTTTTTTAATATTTACATGCAGACATTCCCCTTTGACATCATTTCCTGTTATTTCACAGGCAAATATCTCAACAACTGTTCATCTGAACAATGTGACATTCGTTTTGTAATATGTTAATGTTGCCAAAAATGCATCACTTTTCTTACAAACACTTGTCATCACAGGCACTTTAAGGTTTCATCTACAGCAAATTGGGGTTAAGACCCCACTGAGGGTCCTAAAACTCTAAATGTTGGGTCGTTAGAGGGTTTCCTGAAATTAAATTAAGTTTAAAACTGACTGCTAAGAATGTTTCTGCTATGGTTAGATATGGATAAAAACTATTAGCAATATTTGAATACTTCAACCAAAATACTTTGATTCATGAGTTTCTGCTACAGTTTTTAATTATTTATTTATTTATTTTTATTTTGTCTTTTGTGTTCATTATGAAATTGGTCTTAAATTTAATTTCACTTGGCATTAAAAAGTCTTAAAAACTCACAAATTTAATTTGCCTTAAACTGCAGGAACCCTGTTATTATTTATAACAAAACAGTTTATAAAGCATATTTGACTGTACTGTACTGTACTGTATTTGACAGTACTTGGTGTAATATACAATTTAAACAGAAAGAAAACAAAGTAAAAAAACTAAATACATAAAGAATAAAATAAAAAACAAAACAGACAAGTGCCCTTACAGTCGCTGTAAATTTGAGCAGTTCAAAGTCCCGTTTCTTCTGTCTCCATCTTTTTAATAAATGAAATGAAGGGCCTCCGAATTGTTTCGAATTTCTCCATTTTGCCTTCAAATGATTCAGCGATCAGGCATTAATTCATTATATTTTGACAAAATACAATTTTTGCACACGTTTAAATCAAAACTATCTGAAGGCGTGTGTTGATCGAAAAATGTAGTTTTTGCTCTAAAAGAGGTTTTGTGCTGAAATACCTGAGAGGTTCTGATAGATCCTCACACAAAGGTTCTAAAAACGTTTTGTTTTGTTTCCTTAGGTTCTGTCCTGATCCGTTGACCTCGTCGATTCTGCCGAGCCTCAAGGCCAGTTTGGATCTTTCTGCTGAGTATCTGATTCTGACAGACGTGCAGAGGAAGGTGGGCCCGGCGCTCGGCTCTTTGTTTGTTTTTCTTGATGTTTGTGTCTCTGACTCGTCGTCGTCTGCCAGGTTCTGTACGTGATGGAGCTGCGGCAGGACCTGGAGAAGGGAAAGGCGAGCTTCACGGCGGTGTCGGAGTTCCTGCTCACCCACCCCGTGCTCAGCTTCGGGGTCCGGGACGTCACCCACACCCGCCTGCGGCACACCGAGGTCCTCCCTGCGGAGGAGGACACTGAGAGCATGTCAGCAGGTGCTCGCAGAAACCCACCAGTTGTCTTGGTCGTGTAGTGGGAGGGGCTAGAACGTTTTAACAATCGGACTGGGACAAAACTTCCAAAGGGAGGCGTCCTGATCAGATGCCTGAAAAAATTTATTGTTCAGTTGAGGTGAATTGGGATGTACAAGGAGTTTAGGTGCAGAAAGAGTCAAATGTGTTTTTAATTCAGATTGTAAATTAAATTAAATTAAATTGTGTGTTTTGTCCTCCAGAGGGTGCCCAAGGACCTGCAGAGTCCAAATCTGGGATCCAGATTAAACTCTACTGTGTTCACACCAAGTAAGTGTTCTTATCTGTTAGCAGAAGCTCATGTGGACGTAAAAGGACCAGAACTCTTTAGACCAGAGGTCTTCGCTGGTCCTCATGACCCCCTGCATGCTTTAGATCAGGGGTGAGCTATCCTGGTCCTCGAGGGCCGCAGCCCTACAGGTTTTATGCTTTTCCTGCTCCAACACACCTGATTCAGACATTGAATTACCAAGTTCTGCAGTATGGAGGACCGACACTGACATAACTAGAAAAAAAAGCAGAAATATATAAATGGACCAGCAAATAAATTCAATTAAAAATGCGCCAATTAAATTCAAAAAGGAGAGCTTTATCTCAGGTTTTATAATTTAATTGACCTTCATATTTATTTTTCCAACTTAGTCCCAACTAATAATATATTTTTGCACATAATTTACATTTTACAGGGTTTTTTTTTGTAAAAATGTATTATTTTTTGGAACCACGTTGGAAAAATAAATATGAAGGTCAATTAAATTATAAAACGTGAGGTAAAGCTCTCCTTTTTTAATTTAAATGGTGCATTTTTAATTGTATTTATTTATTTATTTAGCTGTCTGTATAAATATATACATACACACACACACACACTTTATATAAATTCTCCTTTTTGAATTATATTGGCACACTTTAAGTGTATTTATTTATTTATTAATCAATTTATATATTCCACTTTTATTTTTAATTATGTCAGTTTCGGTCCTCCGTACTGCAGAAGCCTGATAATCACCCATTTATTCAAATCAGGTGTGTCTGAGCAGAGAGAAAATAAAACATGCAGGGCTGCTGCCCTCGAGGGCCAGGATTGGCCACCCCTGCTTTAGATGTTTCCCTGCTTCAAAGAATTAAATCATCCAATCAGAGTGTCTTCAAACGTGTGAAACATGCAGGACAGTGGGTCAGGAGGACCAGTGGAGACCTCTGGTGTAGAAGAAGAAAACAGAAAGCAGGAGATGCTAACGTTAGCGCAGTAAGCTATAGGCTGGATTATTTCTGATTGCTTCATTTCTCTGCTGTATTTTTATTTTATTTACATCATTTCCTTTTTTCCTGTTCAGCCAACTCAGATGGTTTTGAATCTTTTAACAGCGGCTGGAGAAAATCTGGGTTTGATTTGTTTTTATTTTGGGTTGATTTTAAATTTGTGACCAGTTCTGCTAAAACGAGTCACAATGAAGAATTTCTTTTATTTCCACACTGGTTTTATTGTTTTCAGACTCTTCATCTCAGAAGTTTCATAATGACGTTTAACTTTATTTAAATTTGATAATTTGACACCTGAGCTGACGTCAAGCTAGTGAGCGCCGTTTTGTTTTTATTGGTCTGAAATGATGTCATCAGATTCCAACTTTAGATTTAAAAAGAACAAGCTTCCCAACAACACTGAATATTATACGAAAGGATTTCCCTGTGTGACTGCAGCCGACAGGGAAAAAATGATGAATCTCAAGGAAATGGATTATTTCTGAAGAAAACTGTGACTAAAAAATAAATGTTATTTTAGTTTCTGGTCTTTACAGACTCATTTTAATGCAAACCATCAGTATGTTTGTATTTTTGCGCCGCAGCTCGTTCACGGCTCACAGTTTGTTCCTTCATGTGTTTTCAGGAGTTTGCAGGACGTCCAGATCTGGTTTCAGCCCAACTTTGCTTCCAACTCGTCTGGATTTCTTCCCCACTCTGATTCCCAGGAGGCTTTGGGTGAGTTGAGAGTTTCAGATTGAAACAAACCGTAGTCGATGTTTCAGCTGCAGTTTTCCTGTTTTTATTTATTTGTGACTTTGTGTTTTTTTTCAGAAACTTTAAACCTGGAAGTGAAAAATATAAGAATCTGCTGTTTCTTTTCCTCCCATGCTTTAGGTTTTATTTCCGATGATCTCATTTTTTGTGTTTTTCAGCTTCGTTTTCAGATCTTCTCACAGACCAGAGCTCCGATAAGGAATCTGGAAGTGGCTCGCAGACGGACCTCAGAAAAATCCCACCGCTTCCCGCCCCCTCAGACTTCCTGTCCAACTCGGCGGCCGGCGGCGGAGCCATGCCCAAGCTGATGACTCCAGACGCCTTCATGACACCGAGCACTTCGGTACCGAATGTTTTTACATGAAGGAAGAGAGGGAAAACTGAAAACAAACACTCCACTTTTTACTAATTTATTTATTTTTGGTCCAGGTCCCGGCGTCTCCCGGCAGCAGCGCCAGCAGCCTGACCATCGTGACCGCCATCAGCAGCAACTCTGACAGGTCAGACCTTCTAACAGCTTGTAGCTTGGAGACCAGTCGGTGACATATCGTGAGAAAATTGAAATTTTCTCAGTCATACTGACCTACTTAAAAAAGAAAAAGGAGAAAAAACAGCTTATTTTTGCATTGTTGGGCGTGCACATTATTTTGTTGCTGCTTTATTAGTTTAAAATGCTGGACTTCACTTTATAATGAAGGCAGGAACATTTCAAACAGTTCTTTTGAGTAAATATTAGTAACATCATTGTTTTTGTTCGATGTGCAGAGCGATGGATGACGTCAGTCAGAGTCCCAGCAGAGGAGATAACAGCAGCAGCAGTTTGGGACACTCGGCCTCCACCAGCAGCCCCAGATCTGCTGGAGTTCTGCTGCCCGGACTGGAGAACCTGGCGGTAAGGTCCGACGCCGACTTCATCAGTGTGGTTCAGGTCTATTCATCTGGTGGCCCGCCAATTGGTTCATTCATCTCTTAAGTCCAAACCCCGTTTTCTACTTTAATTACTATAAGCTGCGTTCCCACGGGTCCTTGAAATCCTTGAAAGTTTGTGAATTTGAAAAAAATTATTTCAAGGCCCTGGAAAGTTTGTGAAAACAGTCAAAAATTACACTTGTCCTTGAAAGTCCTTGAATGTTTTTGGGATTGAAATTCTCTATTTGCACGACTGATTTTCATCATCGTTTAAATAAATAAATTATAAAATTTAATTAATAAAAACTTACATTTGTTGCGGTGGATAACTCAGGATTACGATAAACTGACGTCATTGATTCTGACTCAACTTCTGTGTTCAGTTTTTCATTGAATTTGTATGATATTAAACCTGTTTATTGGTAACATTCTGCAGTAGGTAATTGTCGTTGCGCGTGGTTCTTTAATTTGAGGAAATTGGTACTGGAAAGTCCTTGAAAGGTCCTTAAATTTGATGTTGACCAAGGTGTGGGAACCCTGACTATAAGTTCTTTTAGTTAAACATAAACTGTGTTTCCATCGACCATGAAAATGAACAAATTATAAATTCGAAAATAAATTTGCTCAATGGAAACATGTCAATTTTGAAAAGAAAACTTACCTTTTTCAACAAAATGTTTTTGCACTAGGATGAGGTGGTTTTTCAGCCGTATCGGGTGTGTTTCACAGAACTGCAATGGAAACACCTTTTTTTCACATCACGGGAGTCACGTGATCAACAACCGGATCTTTCTAATGGTGAAAAAGACGACGATGAAGACAACAGGAAGTAGAAGCAGTAGTAAAATCAGGGGTGGGCAGTCCTGGTCCTGGAGGGCCGCAGCCCTGCATGTTTTACTTGCTTCTCTGCTCCAACACACCTGATTTGAATGAACGAATGATTATCAGGCTTCTTTCAGTACGGAGGACCGAAACTGACATAATTAGAAATAAAAGCAGAATTATATAAATGAACCACTGAATAAATACATTTGAAATGCACCAATTAAAATAACAAAGGAGAACTTTATCTCATGTTTTTTGTTTGAAATGACTTTAATATTTATTTTTTCAGTTTAGTATAAATTAGTCTATATATTTTAACACATAATTTAAATTTGAATGTTTTTTAAAATACGTATTTTTTTTGTTTTTCCTTTTACTTCTACATGCATTTTGTGTCTCTTAAATGTTTATACTTAATTATTTTTATATTTTTCCCACAAGGCTTTTTTATTTCTATGTGTTGCAGGCGTGTGCTGCCTCAGTTTAGCTTAAAGTTTAGTTTAAAAGGCAAGGAGAAAAACTTACCCGTGCCTTTGTTTTTAACTAAACTTTACGCTAAACTGAGGCAGCACACGCCTGCAACACATCGAAACAAAAAAGACTTGTGGGACAAAACTATAAAAATATTTCAATTTAAACATCCATCCATCCATCCATTTTCTGTACACGCTTCTTCCTTTTCAGGGTCTTTAAGAGACAAATGTACGTACAAGTAAAAGGGAAAACTGAAAAATATATATTTTAAAAAACAGTCAAATTTGAATTGTTAAAAAAATATCAATTAAATGAGAATTAAATTACAAAACATGAGGTGAAGTTCTTTTTTAATTGAATTAGTGCATTTTAAGTGTATTTATTTATTTAGTGGTTCATTTATATATTTCTGCTTTTATTTATAATTATGTCAGTGTCGGTCCTCCATACTGCAGAACTTAGAAGGTTAATCAACGTCTGAATCAGGCGTGTTGGAGCCAGGAAAAACATAAAACATTTAGGGCTGCGGCCCTCCAGGACCAGGATTGCCCACCCCTGAGTAAAATCAGCAAAGCTGTAAAAGAAAATATTCAACTTATTGACTACAATTTCCCAAAAACACAGCATACGTAGCCGCTCCCAAGTAGGGACTTTTCTCTGGAAAGCCTCGATAAAAGACGCCGACGTCTCCTCTGATGATGAGCGCTAGTGTCGTGGTAGCAACATGCTATGTGTTTACATCCATCGCTGCCATGTTTGTAATGACTTATCATGAGAACAAACGTATTCACGTGACTTTAATAACATTTATTACTTAATGGAAACACAGCATTAGTGAAACTGTTTTTTTTTCAATATCAACAGAATATCAACAAAGTTTTGCGCACATTTGTAATGGAAACACAGCTAATGACATGTTTGGTGTCTACAGAAACGTTAGAATCTTGGCTACAAGCTGGTACAAACCATTTCTATGAATATATAAGTAGGGATGGGTACCTCGGGTCAGACGTGTTCGGACTGTCGGGAAGCTCCTCTGTTGTTTTCCTCTGTCGGTCTCTGTTTAATGGTGGATGAAATAAAGAAAGTGGTGGTACTTTATTTACTTTGAGCAAGTGAAAGTCGTGTTCACAACATAATTAATCCACCAGATAATTCAGAGGCGGTCTGTTCAGCGAGTTTAGGAGCTGTGAGGCTTTCAAGCTACGTTCAGACTGAACTCTGTTTACTGAACCAGCTGCTGATGATGTCATCATGCTCTTACACGATGCTGCGTTCAGGTGGAGCATGGAAAACTCACCACTCTTACGCCAAACTGGTCGCAATGATGCGTTTAGGTATCGAAACACGGAACCGTTTGATGTTACGTGAATAGGTACTCGGTAGTACCAACAGAATTCGGTCAGTACTTATAAAAGTATTGAATTTGGTACCCATCCTTATATATAAGACAGTTTAAACTACAAGCAGTTGAAGGTAAAACTATGAAAGTGAAAAGAAAATTAGTTTAAAAGTTGTCAAGTCAGAGATGTTAAAATATTGTTTGTGGTAAATAGGAGGCAGAATTTGTTCTTTTTGTTTTTGTTGTTGTTTTACTATCACTACTTTTATTACATAGGGTTTTGTATGTGCATTTATGATTAAATGCAGTAAAATAAACTATATAAAAGGTAACAGACCTGTGTAATACTTAATACTAATAATACTAATACAGTAGTAATACTAATACAGAAGGACTTTAACTGCTGGATGTTCAGCTCTCAGCTGTTGGTCTGCAGTAACTCTGGTCCCAGGCAGTTTATTTGAACAGTTCTGCTCTAGATGATAAATAATTATTCTTGGTTTTCAGGTGTTGGGGTCTCCTACCAGTCCCCTGGCCCTCGACAGCCCTCAGGTCCTGGATTCTCCCCTCCTGCCCCTCATGGCGTCTCCAACCAGAGCGCGCTCCCCTGACGTCATCTCCTCGGCCTCCACGGCTCTGTCCCAGGACATGCCGGAGATCGCCTCGCAGACCCTGCAGCTCCAGAGGGGCCACGGGTCCGGACTGGAGGCCTTACCCCTCTCCGCCCTTCAGACGGACAGCATGGCCTCGGCCGCCTCCGCTCTGCACCTGCTGACCTCACCGCGCGCTGCTGGCAACAACAGGTGAGCTTCCCTTACCTGGTGTTTTACCGGCACCTGTGTCAGGTTGTTTTTAAACGCAGATTTCCTCTCAGCTTGTTGCCTCTTGAACTCGGGGGCGGAGACGTGGGGGCGAGCGCGGCGGCCGACCCCGAGCCCAGGCTCAGCAACCAGCCGTCCCTGCTGGAGAACGCTCTGTCTCAGGAAAACCCCGGAGTGGGCGGGTCCTCAGACATCAGCCTCACGCCGTGGCCGGCTGCCCCCGACATCACCAGAGAGACCAGGAACAGCCTGAGGGACAACGGCCTGGAGGACTGGTCCGTACTCTGTCTGAAAACAGACTCAGACTTATTTATTATTGTTTGTTGTGATTTACTCATTTGTGTTTCAGCTCGAGGGAGGAGCCCCAGGAGAGACACCTGAGCCCACCTTTCCATCGCCGCTCCTATCACCTCCCGCAGAACGACAGTCGAGACGCCGCCGCCGAGCAGAGGTATGAAAATAAAACCCTGGGCGCAGCCTTACGTTAAAAACACGACTCGATTCAGACGCAGCGGAGCTCCGATCTGATCGACCTTCAACAGAAAGGTCAAAGGTCAGAGTGACCCTTTGCACGTGACGTCACCCCAAAAGACCGCCCACTTCGCCGTGACGGACATCAGAAACGATCTCTGTTAGCGTTAACTCCTGTACAGCGAGTCAAAACAAACACGTTTGTTGGACAGTGGGTCCTCACAATAAACTAAAACAAACACACACACTCTCTCAGACACACAATCCTCCAACCAAAACGTCTGTATTAGTCACATGATCAGACCGGGGAGCAGCTTGGGAGAGTCAGAGCCTGTAGGATGTGAATAAATAAAAAAATAAATACAGTTAAATAAAAAGCTCAAACAGTTTTTTGAGGATCAAGATGCAGCTAACGTCCGAAGTGGTTGATGTGTGACACAACGCTACTGTTTAGCTGTTTTACTGGTTAGCTTGTTAAATACAGCTGTCCATGAGCCCGACTAGCTCTGCTACTTCCACAAATTAGCTGAACTTCAACAAGTAGGCTACAAGCCACGGCAAAAACCAACAGAAAAACAGTCGCAGTCATTCTGTTAAATACACACTCCCTCACTTCTGACGTCCGTCATGGTGTTCCCACGTGAGACGTAGGTGCAAAGGATCGACAGAGAAACGATACTTCCTGGAGGCGTGGCCTCTGTTGAAGGTTAAAATGATTGGATTGGTTGGCTGCGACATATGTCGCTGTAAAGGAGGCTAAGCTAAGAAGCTAACTGGAAATCTCGAGCGCTGTAAAGAACCCTACTGAGATAGACAGGACATATTTCAGTGGTCTGTCTGTGTTCAGGGTTGACAGTTAACTGTTCTTGTTAAATTATTTAATATTTTGTGTGTTTGATGGTAAGTTTCTGTGTTCCTCTCAGCGACCCCGACGATGAGATCTCCAGCCTGGCCTCCTCTGGGAACTGCGGCTCCCGCTCCTCTCACAGGATCCAGGTCAAAGAGTGGAAGACGTCGCCTCGAGGCTCGCCCAAACTGAAGAGGAAGATGAAGAAAGACGACAGGCGGGTGTTTCTTTCAGCGCTCCGATCGAAGTTTCAGATTAGAATTAACAAAAAAAACATCTGATTATATGAAATCTCACAGTGCTGTCATTAATACTTCACATATGTTGGAGTAATTAGTTTATTTTTACCATCCTGCAGTGAGTTTTCTCAGCCCCGACACATGGATCCTGCACAGGTAAGATACTTACAGATCTGAAACTGTTTCCATATTTACCTCAATCATTGTTTTCTCAAAAATATGTTTAATTTTCTGCATTTCTAAAATAAAAACAAAGCATTTAGGAGTTATACTGGAACCAACATTATTATTACCTCAAATTAATTCACATTAAACTGAAAAAATGAGTTTGAGCCGTTTTTAAATCCTTTACTGCTGATTCAGTTCAACACAGAAACTCAGGACGAGCTGCTGATGCTGCTGCGGGCCCAGCAGAGGGAGCTGTCCGAGATGTCGGCGCTGATGGAGACCATGCCCGGTACCATCATGGCTCAGGTGGAGCACCTGCTGCTGAAGCACCAGGACCAGGAGCGTATCCTTTCGTCTCTAAACCTTGTGTTTTTGTCACGCCTGCACGTTTCGACGCTCTCTCCCGAGGCCTTGACTCGTGTCGACCCTCAGACCGCAGACTGGACCGAGTTCTGGCAGAGAGTCAGAACCATCAGCAGCGGCTTCAGGAGCAGCTGGGCCAGCAGCTGGGCCACGCCCTCAGCTCGGCGCTGAGCAGCAGGATGGACAAGGTGCTGCGAGAGGAGCTGAAGAAAACCGTCCCTCCAAGTAAGAAAACGAGAAAAATCTGAGTGTGTGTTAGTAAAATATTCTTTGAATGATACTATTACTTTTTGTAACTTTATACAGTTTTAAAACCTTTAATTTTATCCACATAATTATTCCCGTCAGAGATTGTTTCAGTTCCTTCAAAAACTTGTTTCTTTTTGGAAAAAAAAAACATTTTTGTCTTATTTTACTACATTTAGCTTTTGTCCTGCTACTTTTAGCTCCCAGCTACATTAGCTATATTTAGTTTCTCGGTTTAAAACGTTAAGCTAGCCTTTGCTACTTTTAGTTTTTAGTTTGCCTTTTGCTATTTTTTAGGGCTGTCAAATGATTAAAATTTTTAATCTATTAATTCCAAGGTAGCTGTGAATTAATCACAATTAATCTTAAAC